AGTTTGTTGTATATGTTGTATTTAAATGTTCAATGTTTCCAGGATTTGCTCTAAATTAGGTTTCTCTGGATCGTGTCTTTCTGTTTGTGTATCTCAGCCAGGTGCAAACTGATTTTTCTCTCTCTTCCTCTACTTCGGTTTTCCTGCCTGTCATTTTGACATTTACCTGTGTGAGTACAAGAAAATAATTATTAGGATACAATGTGTTAAATTTGCTTAGATGAGAGGGTCCAGCTGTAGATCAGAGGAATAAGGGAGGATTTGTCTGTGTGTTTTAGTTTGGCTTAGCTGTAGGCTTGAGAGTGTGTGTAATTGTTTAGAGGGAAAGGAATTTATGGACACTGGGGGTCTGCTGTCATAAAAGGAGACAGGAAGTTACAGTTGGGGGTTGCTGATGCTTTAACCTTTAACAAAAACTCATTATTGTTATAACTTAGAAGTAGGTTTGCAGGAGACTCTCCACCTTATCTGTAAATGTAGGACAATAAGAGGCCAATGGCCCAGTGGATGCAGAGTGGGGGTCTCAGTGTTTGTAATAGGTTAACTGTGTTTTGTATTTTGTCTAAAGGAATTTGGTGTAGCTTGGGTGAGGAGATTACTTTTGTGACCGGCAGGAAGCCACAGATACAGAGACAAACACATAGTGCTTTAACTGTAATGCACCCACACCTACATGCACACTCACTCATGTGCACTCATATAGACACACGGGTATGCGCACACACAGGCACTCACGTGCTCGTGCATACACACACAGACACAGAGTTTGCAGCACACCATGGGGGTTTTATGATGGGGTCGCTTTTATAAAGCTGACTGTAACAAACAAAAAAGTGGAAGATTTGCAGAGGGACGCCGGCCTTGCACGTCTCCCCTTCTAGAAGATGCATGCTTAATAAGATGAATAAAGGTTTTGTGAAATGACTACTGAGTCCGGTGCCGTCTCTGGATGTGAAACTAATTTCGTAACACCTGCTAAGAATGATGCAAAAGTTCTTCAGTGGCCATTTGAAGGTTTGCATTTGTGTGTCTTTTCCCTGAGAATTTGTTTCTGCTTTTTACTATTAGGTTTTCCAGATCCATGTATCCCTTTGGTCTTTGCACTTTCTGTGTTATTCTTACTTTCTGCAATGAGCTGTTCTTTCTCTTTTTTCCAGACTCATCCTTCATATGCTTCATTCTCTCCATGTAAATGGAAAAATAGCTATTTTGGTGAAATTCTCAGAAAAATAATAAAATACAGTGGGGCAAAAAAGTATTTAGTC